TTGCCCCTCACCTCTGGAACTCCCTTCCTAAAGAAATAAAGCTGCCCCCCTCCCTTCTCGCCTTCAAAAATCAACTGGAAACTTACTTTTACTCACTATCATATGGAGAGGAGGAAGTTTAAATGACGAGAGACCATCACTAGACCTCTGATTTAAAAAAGGCTGTTTTTAGAAAATTACTTTTGAATGAGAGATGGAAAGCCTGAAACATACTAGGAGTTTTAAAAAGTTGTTTGGGAGAGTGATGAGAAATATTGCAGAAGGTGCCATCACAATGTATTTGCCCTGTCTAGGGGTCCTGGGAACAGTTCCCAGGCATATGGAAGAGAGGACATCGTAGCCCCATTTAACATTAATCATCAACTCATGGTTTCTGTGGTATGGCCATGTTCTATATTTCGGTTGTGTAATAAAACCAAGGCAAAAGAATTAATTCCAAAACACTGTGGCATGAAAAATAACTTCTGAAAACTCAAATACCAGATCTAGAATCGCAACAGTTTGAAACAATGCCTTTTTATTTTATTTAATCCAACAAGGGATTGTATCTACTCTGCTTATTCTAAATCAAGGGCATGTGTTTGTAAAATAGACATTCAAGTAAAGAGACGCTAACATCTTATTTCTCAATGTATTTGTCTATCTTGTGTAAACCTTAGTGTGAGATATAATACAATTTTGGAAATATGAGTCCTATCCCCATTATATCATTTTTATGCTTAGCACAGAGCCAGAAAAGCAGCTGTGATCCACAATACTATTCTTTTTAATGTTGTTAAGGCTTTCTATCACATGCACTCTGTTGGCGAGAAACACAATTGATTTTCAGTCACCTTCCAAACAGCCTCCAAAAACTGATGATTTCCTGATTAAATAACTTTGAAATAGAACTATAATCTGGGTTCAATTAAATTGATTGAGCTTCCCCTCACAGAAATACATTGAGGAACTGGATGTTAGCAGTACATTTATCTCTGCCATGGTGAACTGTAGCCTTCAGCAGTTAATGATGTTTTCAATTTGTAATCAGATTACATCTCTCTAATCTGTCTCTCATTTCCTATAAGTTGGCCTTGCAGTTTCTAGGACAGCAGCAAGAAACATTTGCCTGTAAATCAACTGTTCAGATATCACTTCACCTTCCCACCAGCAGCTTGGGCTTGGTATCAATAAAGTCAGACAGATGAATATCAGATGGCCCTCTGTCTGGGATACTTTGTGCTTTTCCTGCATGGTGGGGGTTGGACTAGATGGCCCATGTGGCCTTTTCCAACTCTGTGAGTCTATATGTGCAATTTGCAAAGCTGGAATGAACAAGGAACCATATTTGGGGGTAGGGGAGCAGGTTTGTTCCTATGGAGGGTTGTGGACATGAAGGCTTTGGCCCCAAACTAATATTTTGTTGGCCAAAAGAAATCTTGCCTCATATCTCAAATTTCTAGCATTGCCAAAAGTGAGATAGTTACACCTAGAAGTCTTATATTGGCTATCTTTACATTTCCTTGGTAACCTACTATTCCTTTTTTCTTGGGATGCCCAATACTCTGTTCTGCATGCTCAACTAGAATAGAGTTTCTTCAATGCTAGAAGTCTGGAGATTGAAGGAAAATCTCATAGGGATTGGGTCAACATTCTTAGCTGTGGACAAGGCCTTCATTTTGCCCCTGCCATAGCTACCTTTGAGAGGAGCTCCAGATTTCTTTGGGGCTGTTGATTTAAAATGGTATATCTACTCTCAACACTAAGGACTTTATTGCACTAGCTGTTGTCTTGCAGCACTTGCATTGTTGATGTAAAAAAGAGACATACTGGGGACATACCAGTATGAAAACAATCACTATTGCACTCATTTGCAATCACACTATTGTACTCCCCATCTTCTGCTTCTCCTCTCTACTCCTCTCTTTCTTGTCTTGGCTCTTATCTCTCCCCCTTTCCATAAGCTTTGCAGAATGGATTTCTCTACCTCACCCCACCCCAAATACATTCCCTTTTTATCTGAATACCTATCACTCTACCAAGGGGGACAACTGTGCTGAAGATCATGGGAGAGAGAGGTGTGAGTGACCTAAAGAAATGGGATGTTGGATTAAAGATGTCAGTGTTCCCTTGAAGGTGGAAGGAGTGGCATCAGAGGCTGGATCTACACCTAGGATCTGGTCCTAGATTAACTGGCAGTGTAGTCTCATATAATCCAGTTCAAAGCAGATAGTTTGGGATCAGATCCTGGGATATAGGCACCATGGTTCAGTCTTCCATACCAATTGCAGCCACTTTAGCGGGGCAGGGGAGAGGTGGAGAGAGACTCACAACCACTTACTCAAGCAGTTGTATTGGGTGTTGGGTTTCATCCATGAACTGCATAAGTCTTTGTGTCACCAAGTTTCCAGTCCTCATTGAGTAGCTAGACCAGAGGCGGACCCAAGTTCAGGATTCATTTACCTCACTTTCCTATGCATGTTTCCTAAATGGCTGACTTTGTCTTTACTTCTAGCCACTGTCTCTTCCCCTTTTGATGACGTAGTAATGGAATTCTGCGAGGGAACTTCCTTTTAAGTTTAAATTGCCCTGGCAGGTCATGCAGGCTTCACCACTTTTAGTTCTTCTTTTCTTTCTCCCAGTGGGGAAGCATTTTGCCTCTCTGTTGGCAAAATGTAGCTGCATGGACTTTTTACCTTCTTCTGAAGATGAGATAGTTAGTTCCAAGACTTTTCTATCAATGATGTATTTCTTTTTACTTTAATAAATCTTTTGGACCTGAAGTTTTGACTCTGCAATCCTCAGCCATCCTGATGATTAGAAGACTATCCCTGCTCACCACACGTAAGTTTTTGCTGGTTATGAAGTTTACTCCAGGTACTCTGCTATATTTTGGTGGAATTACCCTAACAGAGGGTTATTTTTAGTCTAACAGCTCAGATTCCCCAACATTGGGAACCATTTAATGGTTTTTCCCATAAATGAAAAGGGGTGCTTCAACAATGATTTCAATCATTGATGTAAATGCAAAGCAACAATGGGAGACACACAATGTCATGAGATAAATGCTAGCTACAGATGCTACTATCCTGCTCTAATTATGATTTGTCAGTTGTGTTGCATTCTCATTGTCTCTCAGCACCCCATGACCTTCTCTACTCAGTTTTAGATAGCTTTTATTGCCATTCCTCCTTTTCTCTTCCGTTCTTGAATCTTTTTCTATCTATAAGTAGGATGGGTTTGGTTGTTTTGAGGTTTGTTTATTTTTTTAAACATGCATTCCAGCCTGGAAGTCTTCTCCTTTTTGTTCCTTTTACTTTTCTCCAACATTTTTATGTTGTTCCTCCACATGTGATTGCATGTATCAGCACATACCTACATATGCTTGCAGGAGCAAAGGAGAAAGGAAAAGAGGTTGTAGGAAGATACCATCCCTCTTTCTCCCCACTGCTTTGCAAAACTGTTTGTGTGGGGGAAAGAGATAGGTGGTGGAAAGAAGAAAATCAGCTGGAAGAAGGAGATCCGGAAATTATCAGGATTGCTTTCTGAGAGCCCTTTCACACAGCCATATAACCCAGAATTTCAAGGCAAAAAATTCCACAATATCTGCTTTGAACTGAGTTAGGAGTCCACACTGTCATATATTCCAATTCAAAGCAGAAAATGTGGGATTTTATTCCGCTGTGTGGAAGGGAGTTGAATTTAAGTTGCCAGAAAATTCTCTCATTTTAAGTGGGGTGAAATCCACTTTAACTGCCATAGCGGCATCCTATGAAATCCTAGAATTTGTATTTTGCTGAGGCACTGGAGGAGGTTTCCGGATAAAATTACAATTGATTGTTCCTAAGCTCTTACTTCTAGGATTCCAAAAGATGGAGCTATGGCAGTGAAAGTGGAATCACTGTGTTTATAAATACTGTATAGATTAAAAGGCTCACCGTTTTTTCTAACTTGGAAGCACACTATTTACTCATTGAAGTATGTCATTTACTCATTCAAGTCAAAAAATTATTTCACTTATTCCAAGGCTGAAACATGGATTCTGAAAGCACCCCCAGTGGTAACCTTTACGAATATTGACCACAATGCCATTTATAAGCAACAAAGGAATGAGGGCACAAGATTCAAAATATCAGATGATCTACAACCTTCTTGATTAGCAAGAAAATCTTCACCCAGATGTTTGTTAGTTAAATAAGCAATGCTTGAGTGACGGTGCCCAGCATCAGGGCTTGAAATTTAGCTTTAAAAAAAAATTCCTGCAGATGGCAATTTGGATTATGAGACCAAGTTTATGCCGTGTAATTGTGCAACTTGGAAAGGTTAAATTTTTTGAACATTAATGTGGTATTTCTAGTCCCATCTAAACTTAACAACCTTATTCGACCCAGTGGAAAATCCCACAATATCTGCTTTGAACTGGGTTATCTGAGTCCACATTATCTGGGTTATCTGAGTCCACATTATCTGAGTCCACACCCAGATAATGTGGGATTTTCTGCCTTGATATTCTGGGATATAGGGCTGTGTGGAAGGGCAGTGAGTCCACACTGCCATATGTTCCAGTTCAAAGTAGAAAATGTGTGAGTTTATTCAGCTGTATGGAATGGGCCATAGAATCCTGGAAGCGAATGCTAAAAGAATGTATTAGCCAAATCTATAAGTAATCAGATCTGCAAAAGTTAAACCTGCAAATAAGAAAGGCTGACTGTAAAAACCCATCAATAGCCAGCCAAATTATTTTGGCACATGAAGCAGAAAACTTCACAAGCTCCCCTGGTGATTAAGATAGCACTAACCACAAAATGAAAAAAAAATCAAGATATTGAAATCTCCTCTGATTGTTTGATAGTAGGGTCATCCCCGTACCAAGAGAAGGAGAGAATGTATTCTGCAAATGCTTAGTGGGAGATTGATCAGTTGGATCTCCCTTGCTCCAAGTACCCCATCCACACCTCAAATCTGACAACATTCCGATCTCCGGGGCTATCAATAATTCATGGTCCATCAGCAATACTCCGTAGAGTGCTTACTTTGCACTTTGCCACAGCCAGTCGAGTAATGCACAGTGGAGAGAGATCCTCTCTTTCAAATCCCAGGGCAGCAGGCCAAGCCAGGCTAGTATTGCATTTTCAATTAGCTTCTGAGTGAATGCTTGGCATGTGCAGAAGGGAATCGGCACACAATTAGCGTTTTTGTTCCTTTCAGCATCACTCCGGAGGGCTTGAAGGGCCGGAGGAGGAAGAGTACGAGCAAGCGACTCCAGACAGAGGGACGGCTACTGGCGGATGTGGGAGCAGGGAGTTTCTTGGGCCAAGCTGCTCCACTCCGCTACCTCAGGAATTACAGCTGTTATTATTAAGCAGCTTCAGGGCGTGTGCCAGGGGGTAATTGCAGGCACAATATCCTCCTCCTCCTTTTTTTACTTTCAGGCAGTGCTGGGCTCTTTTTGCTTCAGCATCCCCATCCTCACAGTCATGGAGCCAAACAGCCCCAAAAAGATACAGTTCGCTGTACCAGTATTTCAAAGTCAGATAGATCCCGAAGCAGCGGAACAGGTAAGTAGCTAATTTGATCTTAATTATTTTGGTGTGGAGAGGAGAGAAGAAGAGGTGAGATGTTTCCCAGGAAGAGAACTTGAGAAGTGAAGGCATTTCAAAAAGTGAATTGGTACCCAGAAGATGGAGTGAAGAAGGGAGGTTTGCCCTTTGGATGTTCCAGGTCACATTCACATTCCCAAGCAAACATTTCTGCTCTTCTTTGAGAGGTTTTTCAATTTCTTCCTCTCCTCTTGATATGTTAGATCATTCTCTATGAAACAAAATTGGCTTGATAGATTTTGCAATACAAAGGGAGAGTCGGCTTACTGTGCAGCCAGGTAGACATTCAGGTGAGAAAAAAGTTCATTTGAAAGATGAATGATTCCTCTCTTGTGACTTCAGACTTGTGAAAGAAATAGACAAAAAGTAAAATTTCCCAATATTTTGGATGTTATGAAGTGTGGATAATTGTGTTCGATATTATTCATGCACAACTGGAATGAATATATTTCCATGTAAACACACAACATGGGTGAGGATTATTTCCACATTTATTAATATAAATTGGATTATTGCAAGCAAATCTTAGAGCTGTCAATTCTATAATGGAGGTATCTCAGAAAATAAGAAACGGAGAACCAATTAGCTGGATGATGAAGACATTATTGATTTGGTGGCTCAGAATAATCCTCTCCCATCACAAAAAATCCCTGATTATATCTGTGAAAGGTTATTTAGAGGTTGGCAGTGCACACAAATTTACTCAGAAGAAGGGTCAGGAGAACAATCTCTTTGAGGAGCAGCTTAATGATCTGGGCATGTTTAGCCTGCAGAAGAGAAGGCTGAGAGGGACATGATGGTCATGTATAAATATGTGATGGGAAGTCATAGGGAGGAGGGAGCAAGCTTGTTTTCTGCTGCCCTGGAGACTAGGATGTGGAACAATGGCTTCAAACTACAGGAAAGGAGATTCCACCTGAACATTAGGAAGAACTTCCTGATTGTGAGAGCTGTTCAGCAGTGGAACTCTCTGCCCCGGAGTGTGGTGGAGGCTCCTTCTTTGGAGGCTTTTAAGCAGAGGCTGGATGGCCATCTGTCAGGGATGCTTTGAATGTGATTTTCCTGCTTCTTGGCAGGGAGTTGGACTGGATGGCCCATGAGGTCTCTTCCAACTCAATGATTCTAAGCAATCATTACATTCTTGGGGCTTATTACTAGGTGTAGGTAGATGGAGGGGCAATCCTTATGCTTTTGTGGAAGTAAACATTGGAATTCAATCTAGTTGCCTTTTGAGTAGACCATGTAGGATCACAGTGGTTTCCCTAGAATGTCCTCCATGAAAAGATACTTCTTATTGCCAAGAAGGGATAAGTTGCTGATGATAGATGAAGGATGAGAGAAAAGGGAGGAGATAATATATTTTGTCAAAGCTGAGGTATTCATAAACAGAAGTACAATTGTTGGATAGTGTGTTGTCTTGAATCTCTTAGGTTTGGACAGTGTGGAGGGGAATCTGCAACAAAGCAGATCATGTCTACTATATATTCTTACATGCACACTTCTGTTTGATTGTATCATTGTTTGTAACCACTAATTTTGCAAGAATCTAGACAATGCACAAGATAAGCATCCGTTATCCAGATTCTAAAATCTCAACTATTCCAAAATCCAAAATCGTACACATGGGTAGCTGAGCTACCGACACTTTCTTTCTGATGGTTCAATGGACATGAACCTTATTTAATGCACACAATATTAAAAATATTGTATAAAATTACCTTCACACTTTGTGTACAATTTTATACAAAACATAAATGAATTTCATGTTTTTCCATCTTCCAGTCATCATGTAAGCATATGAAAAATATAGACATTTCAAAATTTGAAAAGGTAATCCAAAAGTCCCAAATGCTTCTGGTCCCAAGCATTTTGGATAAGTGATACTCAACCTGTAAGACTATGTTTGTCTCTTGTACTCCACTCTAACAATAGTATTGGCCTTTATTAGATAGAGGGATGCTAAAATTAAAAAAAAAGACTTAATTGCTTACTATCATCATCATCATCATCATCATCATCATCATCACCAGCTTTGTTTATACCCTGCCTTTCTCTCCATGGGGAATCAAGGCAGCTAAAACTCCACACTAGGCAAGTTTAAAAGTTGCAGTACAAAAGTTAAAAAGCAATTAAACAGCAATTAAATAGTAGCAGTGTAGTAAAAACAAAATTAAAAATATAGTCAATATAATAAAATGGCATGTACAACTCATTCCCCCCCCCCCCAATTGCATTCACAGCATCCCCTGAATTAAAACCACAGCACCCCCTGAAGTGATCTTAAAAACCTTCTTCTTTGAAAGCCTGTCTGAATAAAAAGGTTTCAGCCTGCTGCCAGAGGGGGCATTCTTTCTACCCTGAGAAGAGTGATTTCCAGAGTCGAGGGGCAGCCACTGAGAAGGCCTCTCTTGTTCTCACCAACTGAGCTTGTTATGGAGGTGGACCAAGAGAAGGGCCTCTCCTGAAGATCTCAGGGCCCAGGCAGGTTTGTACAAGGGGATGCAGTCATCAAAATAGCCTGGACCTGAACTGTCTAGGGCTTTAAACATCATATCCGTCACTTTGAATTGTGCATGGAAACAGACTGGCAGCCAGTGGATCTGCTGCTCCGGGGGGTTGTCCGCCCCCTACTACTACTAACCACTCAACACCAGAAAATAAATGCTAAATAATAATGATAAAAGCATAGACTACTATGTACTGGCATGCCCTTCTTCCAACTGTCATGATGACTTTGCAAACTGGAACCTCATCGCAAAGAATTTTTGCTGTCTAAGACAACGGACTATCCTCCTGCCCTCAGTTTTTTGTGCAGAAGCCAACTGGAGTAGTTGTTAAAGTTATTATGAATGCTTACAAAAGGTTTGGGTCTTCTGCCACAGCTAAGGTAGCAGGCTAGTTTAGGGTCTGTGGTAAGGCTATATGAAATTTATCTTCCAAGGGAAGAGAATGAATGGGGGTGGGGAGGCTACAGGATGAACAAGTTGGAGGCTGAAATGATGCTTTTGTTTTTTTTTTTTTTTTTTTTTTTTTTTGGGGTTTTTTGTTTTTTTTTTGATGCTTTTCACTGCCTCCCCCAACCCCCGCATTTGTCACCTGAGGCACATGAAGCCCTATCCTGACTAAAGATAGGACTGGCTATCAGTACAGTGCTGGTGTTTTAACCTGCTTATCTCCATGCCGCTATGCAAAGTGGTTTTGAAACAGCATTCTAAACACAGTCTTTTGTGCGGTCCAGTATGGAAGTGTCTCAAAACTATGTTTTGACTTCAGAAAAAAGTTCTAAGCACACTCATGTCCTCTTATACGCAAACCAGCTAATACCATGAAGAGTTGAATGCATCCATCTCAATTATTTTGCTCTCTTAGGAAAGACAGTCCCAGTTTCTTGAGTACGTGTTTTGAGATGCACTGTTAGTTGATGCAGCTCAAGAAGCCGTGTACAAACCCTGATTTGGATACTGCTTCCAGAGTCCCTTGACGCAGGCCACTTCTGTTTTGATAGAGCAACCCTGATTGTTGGAACTTGTTCTTTGTAGCATTAGCATGTTTTAATTCCAGAAAAATATTGCAAACTGTGTGAGTGTGTGCGTGTGTGTGGGGGTGGGGCTGCTGGAGACTTCTATGGCAGCAAATCCACACTAGGTCTTAATGTAGATGTTATGAGTTCAGCACCTTGGATAGCTCCTTCAAAGTTTGGGATCATATCTAGGCTGGATTAACCTTTCCTCTGATGTCATCAACCAATACAGCCAAAAAAGCATTAAATATGTAATTGACAGTATAGGTTTCAGTACATGTTCGTACTATCATCAGTGGCTGTGTTAATTTTCTACAATCGTATTTCTAGAACTCTGGCAGAGGGTAGTGAGTAATTATTAAAGCAATCTAATCATATTAAAGTTTTAAGCATGTCAGTATTAGTTATAATAATGCAGTCTAGCCATTTGTCTTTTCTTATGGATTTGGGGCTGTTATTTAACTGAGTTGTTATTGAATTTAGGGTCATAATTTAATCCGTTTCTTGTACCTATATATTCCACAGATTAGGAAAAGAAGGCCTACACCAGCGTCATTAGTAATTATGACTGATTCACCACCAGGTAAGTCAATTCAGCAGCTGCTTCTAAATGGCAGGTTAAGTGTATTAATATGGAAAAAGAAAAGATGGAAGTGGCTAAATGAAGATTGGGCATCAGCTCACAACAATAAATTATATTAAACCATGTGCCTCTTTGTACTTTTCCAGTGCATTGCTTGCACATTTCCGAAGGAAATTATCTCTGATCCCAGATGTTTCTTCTACTTCCAGGAAATTGGGAAATTGGTCAATTGGGAAGGAGAAAAGAAATAAAAAGTTTGCCAGTCTAGGGTACAATGAAAAAAAAAATTAAGATTGGTCTTTGCCACTATTTACCTTCAAATGTTGTCTACTTACATGGAAGGTGCTCATTTATATACCCTAATGTTAGGAAACTTCTGGCATTCCTCTGCCATAGTGCTAGGAATATATGCCTAAACTAATTTCCACTGGGTACATTCTTATATATTTAGATCATGTTCTTATAATGAAGACATATGACTTGGAACTGCCATTGTGGCCATCAAAGTTTATGTGTCCAGGTATATTTAGAAATGCAGGACATATTTTGTGCTCTGCAGCTCCTAGAGAGCCTCAGCTGTCTTTATCTTCTGCAATTGCCCATCAGTAGCACAAAAGTGAAAGATGCTGAACTAAGACTCTGAATGTCCTGGATTGACATCTTATCTCTTCCATAAACTGTCCACCGAGAGCTTGCAAACTTATTTATGTTCTTGCTGAGCTTCTCTTCCATGTGTTCTCTGGACAGTTCACAAAGGGGAGGTCAAATCAGGAAATGCCAACACATAACAAAATAATGTAAATTCTAAACTGGATTCAATGGTTGCCTAGAAAAACTGAAAGCAAGAGCAGAGGACAACACAGGGCAAGGATCTAGACAGACCAAAAACATTTTTAAACCGAAAGACTAAAGCTCCTTCTAAACTGCATTATATCCCAGTATTTGATCCCAGATTACTTGCTTATCCCATATTATATGGCAGTGGAGACTCACATAATCTAATTCAAAGCAGATAATCTGGAATCAGATTTTGGGGTATAGGGCAGTGCAGATCCAGCCTAAGGCCCCTTCTGCACTACCATGTAATCCAGATTATCAAAGCAGATAATCCATATTATCTGATTTGAACTGGATTATGAGTCTACACTGCAATGTAATCCAGTTCAAATCAGATAATATGGATTGAATATGACAGTGTAGAAGGGGCCTAAGAATCCCATGGAATAAAATAAAATCTTCATTTGGCATCAAATACATAACAACAGCTAGGTTAAGCTCTCTGAGAATTACATTCTCACAGTAGAGTGCCACTAATAAAAATGTTCTGTTGGTAATAATCTATGTTGCCTCATTTGGTTGGGGCACCTGGACAAGGATCTCAGTTGATTGCATAAGTAAATGTGGGAAAATATATTTATTGGGGTCACTTGGCTCCATTCCATTTAAGGCATCCTGCAACCATTTTTTAACATGAATATTCTTTTTACTGGTACTGCAAACCTGCCTTTAAAGAATATGTATTTTTCCTCAAGTGGGGAGAATATGTGTTTTCAAAGCAGTTCTTTATTTTCTTTATGATGGCATATGATTGGTGGTTGCCATGTTAGTGGGATTGTGATTTTGTGCCACGTTTTGCTCTAAAATTTAAAGGAAAATGCTGAATCCATTTTGGGAATATTGGGAGTTGAGCACATTGGATAGCGTCTTTCAAATTCAAACTAAAGCCTGAAGAAAGGCCATCACCCATTTGAGGCCCCTTCTACAGCCCTTCTACACAGTCATATAAGACCCAGATTATCGGCTTTGAACTGAATTACATGGCAGTGTAAAAAGATGTGTTGTTGAAGGCTTTCATGGCTGGAATCACTGGATTGCTGTTGGTTTTTCAGGCGATATGGCCATGTTCTAGAAGCATTCTCTCCTGATGTTTTGCCCTGTTAATTTCCATGTCAGGCCCCTTCTACTCTTCCATATAATCCAGATTATCAAAGACAATAATCCATATTATCTACTATGAAATGTAAGCTTTTCTTAATGGAGCCTTGGCAACATTAGTTTTGGTCATGTACTGTTTGGTGACGTTGTCATATTGGAGAATAACACTGACTTCCTCAATTGTTGTGACAGTTAATGTAGTGGAGGTCAAGGTCCAAATTCCTGCTGAGTGGAAACCCACTTCCTAACACTGGGCAAGTCCCACTTTCTCAAACTCAGAGGATGGCAACAGCAAACCCCCTCTGAATACATCCTCCCAAGATAGTCACATGATAGATTGATCTCAGAACAACTTAAAAGCAAAGAAATATAATATGTAATTGTTGCATAATTTGCAATCAGATAATGCATATAAAACACTGAACATCGGGAAGCACCTAAATAATTGCTGGTGTTGTTTTAATTGTGCAACAAATGTAGTATGGAGAGTTCCGGTTCCATGAGCAGTCAAACTTTTTGCAGAGCGCTCCATTCCATTCATATTCTCCTAATTTTTCTTTCCTGGACCTTCCCTGTATTCAGTGGCTAGTAAACATAGTCTATCTTCATTGGGCTATTTCTTCAGGTTGGGTGGAAAGGAATCCCTTAGGAGATTTTCTTTGAAATACAGATACTTTTCTTCCTTCTACTTCTGCATTTCTTGATCCCCACCCCCAAGCTATTGGTACCTCCTTTTGTGTGTGGCCTGTGCACTTTTATATATGGAGGTATAGGCACCTATATCTGATGTTAGGAAATGAGCAGAGCAATGGAATACAATGAGTCCTTTCAAATGGATGTTTACAAGCTGTGCCCTGAAAACACATTGGGAATATGTATTGTTGAATTTAACATACATCAGGAATATATGTTAAATTAAAGCAACATGTATCTGAAGATCAATAAGATGGTGTAAGCAACTATAAGGTCTTTTTAAATTTAAATTTACCAGATTCCTACACCCTGCATGACCAATGACCATGCTGGCTGGTGAATTATAGGAACTGTATTTTTTTAAAAAATCATTTTTAATTTCTAATCAAAAACAGATTCCACAAGGCAGAAGACTCTCCCTGCAACTCCAGGCAGCTCTGCCTAAAGCTCAAAGGCAAATCGGCTTTTAATGCATTGTATGATACTCCCCATCTGTGGTGCGCAGCAGCTTGTGGTTAATCCAAATTTAGTTCCACATACTGTTAATATGCCCTCAAAGTAATGCCACTGACAGGCCTCTCGATCAATTTTCACCA